AGAAAAACCACTAAAATTTGGCCATAATATAGATAAGCACACTCAACTTTGAAAATTTAAGAAAACTCACTCAACTATGGGATGTCTCACAAAAACCCCTAATCTTTCATAGTTTACTCACTAAGCACCCTGATGTCATTTCAAAATATAAAGTAATTGAAAATACCCTTTGATAATCAATCCATTCAATTACAAAAGAACCCATAATCAATAAAAAAAACATTTTCAATTTACAAAGCTTTTCCCCCTCTTTCTCCTCTCTTTCTCTTATCCTAAAAATCAGAGTAATTTTTTTTTATGATTTAGGAGTATTTCAATCTTTTCTCAGCTACCTACTTATCATGTGATATGCTAGACTTAACAATGTTAGCTTAGGAAATACTTGTAAAGGAGCGGTCTGAGGTGCAGGTTAGCGGGCGATCTGATGCTGCTAACTTGTGCTCCTGCTGTGCTTTGATGGGGAAGAAAAAAAAGAATAGTGGGAAGAAGATCATTGAGATTGGTCTGAGAGCTTCAAAATTGACTTCCTCTCATTGTGAGGATTCTTATGATACCGGTTTTGAAGATGGAAGCCTGCTCTCTGAGGATGAAGGGGTTAATACGATCTTGATGGGATCAACGGGATCAAAAGGGGAGAAGAAGAAGAAATCAATGGCGGAGATCCTCAATGCTTCTTCTCGAGTTCTGCAAACTCCTACCAATGGGTTCGGGGTTCAAGCTCGCCATCTAAGTGAGTCTTCTCTGTCTCAAAGTAGAATTTCTTGGGCTGAAGAGGTTGATTTAGAAGATGATCTCTCTGGATCTAAGTCTCAGATTCAGATGAGGGATAGTGATCCTGTTCAATTGGTTTTTGATTCTAATAAAAATTCAACTATTGTTCCATTGAACCTGCAAGAGGAAGGAGTTGATGTTGAGAGATCTGAATATATTATTCCTCCTTTAAAAATGAATGCTAGTTCTCAGTTGAAAATGGGAACAATAATCAAGGACAACTCTGATTTTCCTCCATTAGGTTCTCCAAAAGATATTCTTATTCCTGATAAAGAGGGGAAAAGTTGGGTAAGCTATTTTACAGATAACAGGAAGCCTGGATGTGGAATAAGCCTGAGTTTTCTACCATCTGAAACTAAAGATAGTGTTTCTTTCGATGAAGAAGAATGGAATGAGGGAGCTTCTATCTGGGAATTCTCTCTGATTGGTCAGGTAATAGGATTGAATGTCAAATTTAAAGCAATGGAGAATTTCGTGCAGAAAATCTGGGCTCCTTATGCTATCCCTGAAACATGTCTTCTCAAAGCTGGATTGTTTTTGTTTAAGTTCAAAAATAAAGATGAAATCAATAGTATTCTGAGCAATGGTCCTTGGGTCTTTGGTTCCAGACCTCTGCTGCTGAAAATCTGGTCAATTGGTGAAGAAAATACAAGGAATAATGAATGTATATATCCTATGTGGATCCAGTTGCCTTTTCTCAGGCTAAATCTGTGGAATGAGAAGGCTATTAGTAAAATAGCTAGTACCATTGGAATGCCAATAGCTACTGATAAACTCACTGCTAATAGATAACAATTGTCTTATGCTAGAGTGCTTTTTGAGGTGAGTATGCTATCCCATCTCCCTGATCAAATCACTATACAAGACCCAAATGGGAAAAGTTTTAATCAAGCAATACATTATGAATTGAAGCCTAGATGGTGTGAAAAATGTAAGATGGTGGGTCATGAAACAAGATTTTGCAAACGTTTTCCAAAGACACAGAGATGGGTGCCAAAATCAAAGGAGAATTAGGGGATTCAAGCAGACAAACAGAAAGCTCCAGAGGTAGGATTTCAGCAAGAGATGCAAAAATTTATGTCTGTAGGCCCAGATACTTCTGTTGTTCAAGATCTGGCTGATAAAGATTTGCTTGGAAATAGAGTTCAGACTGCAAAGATACACTCTATGTCTAACTCCCAGGATGTTGTACATGTTGTGCATATGTATCCTGCTCAATGTGGCTCTAGTGGTTTATCTACTGGTGAAATGTCTCCTGGAAGAGTGCAAGTTAGAGCTGATCAAATGCAAAAAACTATAACTGGTGTTCAGCAAGAGTTGCCAACCAATGCCTCTGTGCATGTGGTGCAAGCTCAGTATGATCCTGGATTAACAGATGCAACCTTGACTGGTAGTGTGCATGTGCAAAATGCCTTTTCTAGGGGAGATAACAAGGGGAAAAATCCATCACAATCTGGAGTTCTCATACAAAAATATATCCAAAACCTGAATCCTTTTTCTAGCATTTCTCCACATGGATTAGGAGCAGATCCCTCTAATGTTGATAGAGGGGGACAAAGCTGATGAATATATCCTTCTGGAATGTTAGAGGATTAAATAGATCCTCTAAACAGCACATGGTTAAAAACCATATTACACAGTATCATTTATCTTACATTGCTCTTCTAGAAACAAAAATTAAAGAAAAAAAATATACAAGCAATAACAAAGAAGCTTGCAGTTAACTGGAGGTATATATCAAATGTGAGGAATTCTGGAAAGGCAAGAATCTTGATTTTATGGGATCCAAACATTCTTGATATCCAATTGATTACTTTCTTAGATCAACAAGTTACATGTTCTGTTAAATCTCTTGATGGGAGAGTTGAATTCTTCATTTCTTCAATATATGGTTTCAGCAATCAATTGGGTAGGAAACATCTCTGGACTGATCTTGGTCAGCTGTGATTTCCTTCGGCAACTCACCCTGGTTACTATGTATGGATTTTAACACAATGACTAGCAATGATGAGAAAATAGGGGGTGTTATTCTTTCTGAAGCTGACACAAAGGACTTCTGTGAATTCATTGACAACAATCAGCTTGTTCATATCAAGAATACTGGTTGTTTCTTTACATGGAACAATAAGCAAGAAGTTAATACAAGGGTATGGAGTAGATTGGATAGAGCTTTAGTTAATGATTCTTGGATCAACAACTTCAACTCTAGTCATGTGGAATTCTTATTGCCTAACCTCTCAGACCACTCCCCAGCTCTGGTATCAATTTTGGAGGATTGCTTTCAAGGGAAAAAGCCATTCAGGTTCTTCAACATGTGGACTAAACATGCAAATTACCTATCTACAATGTCCACAAGCTGGCAAATGCAAATTGAAGGTTATAAGATGTTTTCAGTTTTTACAAAACTAAAAAATCTGAAATATGCTCTGAAGGATATCAATAAAAGACATTATCATAACATCAGTGAGCAGGTGTTGAGGGCAAAACAAAAACTAGAAACTGTTCAGGAATATCTACAAAAAGATCATCTCAATTCTACTCTCATTGCTCAAGAAAAGGAAAGTTTAGCCTTCTACAATAAGTTATTGGACTGTGAAATGTCATTCTATCAACAAAAGGCAAGGATTGAGTGGGGAATTAAGGGAGACAGGTGTTCAAAATTCTTTCATTCCATTATTAAGTCCAAGAGGCATCACAATAGAGTTACAGTGATTTATAATAGCTGTGGAGACAGGATTACTGATGGAGAGGGGATCAAAAATGAATTAATCTCTTTCTACAAAGATTTACTGGGAGCAAAGGTTAAGAGAATGGCTCCAGATATCAACATAATAAGGAATGGGCCTTACTTAAATGACTCACATATCAGATACCTATCCACCAACATATCAAAAGAGAAGATTAAAGTAGCTGTTTTTTCTATGTCTGATGGGAAAGCTCCAGGGCCTGATGGATACAATGCAGTTTTCTACAAAACATCTTGGGAAATCATTGGAGAAGAGGTAACTCAGGCTATACAAGAATTTTTCAAATCTGGCAAGATGTTAGGCATGGTAAATTCTACCTCAATTACTTTGATTCCTAAAATTCTATGCCCCAAAACTCTATCTGATTATAGGCCAATATCATGCTGTAACTGTTTATACAAAATCATCTCTAAAATTCTGGCTAATAGGCTCAAAACTGTTATGGGTCATTTGGTAAATGAAGCACAAAGTGCCTTTGTCAAAGGTAGGCAAATATCCAGCAATATTATGCTTGCACATGAGCTGATTAAAAACTATGGGAGGAAGCATATCTCACCTAGAACAATGCTCAACATTGATATAAGGAAGGCTTTTGATACTCTCAGCTGGGAATTTCTGGAGGATATGCTGCAGGGGCTAGGATTCCCTAGTAAAATGATAAAATGGTTAATGGCTTGCATCTCTACCCCAAAGTTTTCTATCTCTCTAAATGGATCCCTCCATGGTTATTTTAAAGGGGAGAGGGGATTGAGGCAAGGTGACCCCTTATCACCCTATCTCTTTATCTTAGGGATGGAATATTTATCTAGGAGATTGGATAAATTGAAGAATGAAAATAATTTCAAATACCATCCTAGATGTGGGAGGCTAAAAATCACTCATCTTGTGTTTGCGGATGATATTCTTCTATTTGCTAAAGGGGATTTACTCTCAGTACAAAATTTGAATCAATGCTTGAAAGAATTTAGTGCTGTCACTGGTCTTGAAGCAAATCCTGAGAAGTGTTCTGTTTACTATGGTGGAGTCTCTGACACTGTTAAAAACTCAATTGAAGAATGCCTGGGGTTCAAAGAAGGGATATGGCCAATTAAGTATCTTGGCGTTCCTCTCCTACACAAAAGACTATCCTATGTTGATTGCCTCCCTCTTATTAATAAGATTACTGGACAACTACAGGGCTGGATGAAATGCAAAAATTTATCTTATGCATGGAGAATTCAGGTGATAAAAAGTGTTATCCTTGGTGTTCAAATTGGACTTCAAGTTATTCTCTACCTCTGAAAGTCCTTCAAAAAGTGGATGAATTATGCAGGAATTATTTGTGGGGGAAAAATGACCAGTCTCTCAAAGTTGCACTTGTCTCATGGGATAAAATTATTTGTGGGGGAAAAATGACCATTTTTCTGCTGTAACCTGGAACAGAGCCTCTGCCATGAGAAACTTGTGGTATATACATATAAACAAAGAGCTGTTGTGGATTAAATGGATACATGGAAATTATTTAAAAGAAACAGCATTTGGCAAGTGCAAGCAAAAAATGGGGATTCATGGACATGGAAGCAAATGTTGAAGATTAGAGACAGTGCTTTGATTCATTGTGGTGGGGAGGAAAATCTGAAACAACTCATTGCTTCATGCTACAAAAATTCCAAAATTCAGCTTTCTTCTCTGTACAAGTTGTTCTCCCCTAATGCTAGCAAAGTGCGATGGCGAAATACTATTTGGGGAGGTTTGAACTATCCTAAACATTCCTTTATTTGTTGGCTTACTATCCAAGACAGGTTGCAAACTAAGGATAGATTGATGAGGAGAGGGATTATCAATGAAAATAAATGCACTTTGTGTTCGGGTCAGGAGAACAGAGACCACTTGTTCTTTGGATGTCCTTTCTCAAGTGAGATTTGGAACCAGGTGATGCTTTGGCTCCAGTTCAAATGGAGGTCTTGCAATTGGAGATGCCTTCTTGACTGGTATTGTAACAAGCCTAGGGGTAGAGGGGACAAAGTGAAGATTAAAAGATTGGCGTTTACTACCACTCTGTACAAAATATGGTGTGAACGCAACTATAGAATCTTCAAGCAACAGTACAAAAGCAAAGACCAGTTGGTAAAGGAAATCAAGATGGATATATTGATCATTATTCTTAACAGCTCCTTGCCGGATACTCTCAAAGAATGGATTAGTCTCTGTAAATAGCTTAGAAAGATGATCCTTTTTGAGTTGTTTTTTGTATTTTGATACCTCACATCGGAGGTTCTTGATGTTCTTAAAAGCTTACATTTGGTGAATGAATAAAAAATTTTTTCATTGACAAAAAAAAATGTTAGCTTAGGACATAAAGTGAGAAGAGTTCGTTTATCTATAATAATTTCAAACTTAAATGAGTTTCTCAAATTAAAATAATTAAGGATGCTTTTCTGATACACACTCCATGGGTGTTAAGTGAGGAAAGTTCAAGGGATTATCTCAAATTTTCATAGTTGAGGGGGCATTATATATAATATGCTCAAACTTGAGGGATATTTTCTCAAACTAAAATAGTTGATGGTTTCTCTAAAACTAATCCATGATTTTTTATGAAGAGGCTCTTTATATGTGTTTTTAAAAATTTCTATGTCTAATATATTATTATGAGATTTTTTTAATTATGTTTGGTTATAATTAGATAAAGATTCTAAATATTTTATTATTAAAATATTTTAATTATGGATAGTTTTAATTTGACGAGAAGTCTTAAGTGAATATAAGATTAGATGTCAACATGTCATCTTCTAATTAGATAAAAAGGTATTTGGACACTTATGCTATGACATGTGTCAACTTTTTGTGCCTTTACAATATGACACACGTCATGTCTTTAGAAATTCCACCAATTTCTCTTTATATATAAAGCAGGGATAACAACTACTAAAAATATAATTCATAGGATCTTCTATTGTTTTGTGGATTGATCTAACATTAGTCTAATCAAATGGATAATGATGACAATCCTGAATTAGGATATATGGGTACTAGCATTCATATTTTTTTTCATAATATATGTAGTGATCCAACATTTATTTGTGAGCTAACCTCATCAGACCGTTAAATGGATTAAACAAATCTCAATAACTCTTCAAACACTGCCTGCTCGAAAATGCAAATCATCATAGTATTAATCATTTTTATGGGAATGAAAATAAAAAATAAGAAATACTTTCTCTAAAAATATGGACAAATGGAAGTTTTACACCTAAGGAAGCACATTATATATGAAGCTTCTCATAATTTCATTGATTTATTTATTCTTTTTCTAGATGCAAGGAAGAGAACATTCATTTTGAGGAAAATAAAAACATGTTAACTCTACTCTTTTTTACCTTTTAAAATGAATTAACTAATCGAAAGCAAAACAAAAATAAATAAATAAATTCCATTGAAATATAGTTTTATTGACCAATTAGAACTATCCCCTAGGACCTATAATTTTCTCAATAGGTCCAATATACATACATTATTATTGGACATTGCCCAGTGGGAAGTC